TCACCTACCTGCTGACTGACCTCGGAGAGCCGCCTCGTTCTCCTCCAGTGCTGTACGTAGACAACAAGGCCATGCTGGCCTTGTGTCGAGAGCAGAGACTGGAGCACAGAACGAAGCACATTGCTCTCCGCTACTTCCTTGCTCGTGAGCTACAGCAGCGTGGTCAGCTGCGGCTTGCGTACGTGGCCTCTCAGGCCAACACTGCTGATATCTTCACCAAGGCACTTGCGCCTTGTGATCATCAGCGCTTCTGTACTCAGCTGGGTCTTGTGCCTACCTTGCCTCACTTGCTCACCCCTTGACCTTGTTTGTACTGTTGCATATATATATATACACCTGCTCTTGCTTGTCTAGCCTTATATATATATGTAATCCTGCATGTGAACTGGCCTTGTGGCCTTGAACTTGTGCTCGGAATGTGTGGTGACTTTGTGATCCACCCTGAGCTTGCTTTGCTTTGCTTGACTGGTCTTGTGAACCCTTGTTCTCCCCCACTTTGCCTATGGGGGTGTGTCAGATTTATATGACATAGCTACTGTAGGCTATAGTGGGGTAGCACATATGGGGTACAGTTTTCTAGGGTTTACATTTGTACCCAACTTTCCCTTAGTCATTCTCATTCCTCGTTTCTTCTCAGATGCTCACTCGTCACTATGCTTGCTCGTCACAATGCACGCTCGATAACATATATAAAAATGCTAAAAACATGTTCCAATAGTAATAATATAGAACATATAACAGCTAGTCAAATACCTTTAGTACTTTCGTACGACAGATTACATAGTTTTAAGAATAATAACATCGTGAAAAATATATATGTTATCTTAGAAACATTCGATAGCAATATTAATTATCATGAACAACTTCAATACAATCAACTGAGCTCATGTGATCAAATGTTCTTTTATAAATGAGAGTTTTAGATATATATATGGAAAAAAACGCGAAATTTTGTTTTAATGAAACTTATAACAATCTATCAGATACATATCGAAAACTTACAACAAACCTGTCACGATGCTCGCTCGTCACGATGCTCGCCCTGGTCGGCGCGCGAACCAAGCCGGAATTGTTTTGCTTGGTGTATTTGAGCATGGGCCACCCGAATATGCAACAACATTCATGTCGTTCGACGCCTTTCCCTACGCCTGTAGGGATTTGAGCGCTTCCTTAGCATTTGGCGGCAGACGCGGCCGTCATCGCAGGCGCCGAACTTTTCTGTGCGCGCGAACCAAGCCAGAATTGTTCGGGTATGTGTTTTTTATCATGGGCCACCCGAATATGCAACAACATTCAGAACGTTCGACGCTTTTCCCTACGCCTGTAGGGATCTGAACGCTTCCTTAGCATTTGTCGGCAGACACGGCCGTCGTCGCATGCGCCGAACTTTTTTCTGTACGCGCGAACTAAGCCGGAATTGCTCTGGTAGGTGTTTTTTAGCATGGGCCACCCGAATATGCAACGACATTCAGGTCGTTCGACGCTTTTCTCTGCGCCTATAGGGATCCGAGCGCTTCCTTAGCATTTGTCGGCAGACGCGGCCGTCATCGCGGGCGCTGAACTTTTTTATGCGCGCGAACAAAGCCGGAATTGCTCTGGTAGGTGTATTTGAGCATAGGCAACTCAAATATGAAACAACATTCAGGTTGTTCGATGCCTTTCCCTATGTCTATAGGGATCCGTGCGCTTTCTTAGTATTTGTCGGCAGACGCGGCCGTCATCGCTGTCGCCGAACTTCTCTGTGCGCGCGAACCAAGTCGGAATTGCTCTGGTAGGTATATTTAAGCATGAGCCATCCGAATAAGCAACAACATTCAGGTCGTTTGATGCTTTTCCCTACGCCTATAGGGATCCGTGCGCTTCCTTAGCATTTGTCGGCAGACGCGGCCGTCATCGCTGTCGCCGAACTTTTCTGTGCGCGCGAACCAAGCCGGAATTGCTCTAGTAGGTGTATTTGAGCATGCGCCACCCGAATACGCAACAACATTCAGGTCGTTCGACGCTTTTCCCTACGCCTATAGGGATCCGAGCGCTTCCTTAGCATTTGTCGCCAGACGCGGCCGTCATCGCAGGCGCCGAACTTTTCTTTGCGCGCGATCCAAGACGGAATTGTTCTGGTAGGTTTATTTGAGCATGCGCCACCCGAATATGCAACGACATTCAGGTCGTTCGACTCTTTTCCCTACGCCTCTATGGATCCGAGGGCTTCCTTAGCATTTGTCGGCAGACGCGGCCGTCATCGCAGGCGCCGAACTTTTCTATGCGCGCGAACCAAGCTGGAATTGCTCTGGTATATGTATTTAAGCATGGGCCATCCAAATAAGCAACAACATTCATGTCGTTTGATGCTTTTCCCTACGCCGTGCGCTTCCTTAGCATTTGTCGGCAGTCGCGGCCGTCATCGCCGACGCCGAACTTTTCTGTGCGCGCGAACCAAGCCGAAATTGCTATGGTAGGTGTATTTCAGCATGGGCCACCCGAATAAGCAACGAAATTCATGTTGTTCGACGCTTTTCCCTACGCCTATATGGATCTGAGCGCTTCCTTTGCATCTGTCGGCACACGCGGCCGTCGTCGCATGCGCCGAACTTTTCTGTGCGCGCGAACCAAGCCGGAATTGCTTTGGTAGGTATATTTGAGTATGGGCCACCCAAATATGCAACAACATTCAGGTCGTTCAACGCTTTTCGCTACGCGTATAGGGATCCGAGCGCTTCTTTAGCATTTGTCGGCAGACGCGGCCGTCAGATTTCATGTGATCAAATGTTCTTTTACAAATTAGAGTTTTAGATGGATATATATATATGGATAAAACTTATAAATTTGAGTTAGATAGATATATATATATATATATGGAAAATTTTGTTTTAAAGAAACTTATAACAACCATATATAAATCGAAACCTGTCACGATGCTCGCTCGTCACGATGCACGCTCGCCACGATGCTCGCTCGTCACGATGCTCGCTCGTCATGATGCTCGCTCGTGACGATGCTCGCTCGTCACGATGCTCGCTCGTCACGATGCTCGCTCGTCACGATGCTCGCTCGTCACGATGCTCGCTCGTCACGATGCTCGCTCGTCACGATGCTCCTCGTCACGATGCTCCTCGTCACGATGCTCGCTCGTCACGATGCTCGCTCGTCACGATGCTCACTCGTCACGATGCTCACTCGTCACGATGCTTGCTCGATAACGTATATAACAAATGCTAAAAGCATGTTCCAATAGTAATAACATAGAACATATAACAGCTAGTCAAATACCTTTAGTACTTTCGTATGACAGATTACATAGTTTTAAGAGTAATAACATCGTGAAAATATATATATGTTATCTTAGAAACATTCGATAGCAATATTAATTATCATGAACAACTTCAATACGTTAAACTGAGCTCATGTGATCAAATGTTCTTTTTTAAATGAGAATTTTAGATATATATATGGAAAAAAACGCGAAATTTTGTTTTAAAGAAACTTATAACAATCTACCATGTGCTAGGATCCGCACATGTGGAGGAAGTGCAGCGGGCGCTCTTCATTCTCAAGCGCCGATAACCAATGATGCTCGCAACCCTTCCACGTCCTTGCTGGCTTGGCAATAGGCCCAGACAAGCGCAGCCACGTGACCCGGTAGAAGAAATACGCTCATTGCGAGCGCTTCTAGCCTCAAAACGCACTAGGATCCGCACATGTGCAGGAAGTGCAGCGGGCGCTCTTCATTCTCAAGGGCCGATGACCAATGATGCTCGCAACCCTTCCACGCCCTTGCTGGCTTGGCAACGCGCCCAGACAAGCGCAGCCACGTGACCCAGTGGAAGAAAAACGCTCGGAACGAGCGCTTCTAGCCTCAAAACGCTCTAGGATCCGCACATGTGCAGGAAGTGCAGCGGGCGCTCTTCATTCTCAAGCGCCGATGACCAATGATGCTCGCAACCCTTCCACGCCCTTGCTGGCTTGGCAATAGGCCCATACAAGCGCAGCCACGTGACCCGGTGGAAGAAAAACGCTCGGAACGAGCGCTTCTAGCATCAAAACGTGCTAGGATCCGCACATGTGGAGGAAGTGCAGCGAGCGCTCTTCATTCTCAAGGGCCGATGATCAATGATGCTCGCAACCCTTCCACGCCCTTGCTGGCTTGGCAATAGGCCCAGACAAGCGCAGCCACATGACCCGGTGGAAGACAAATGCTCGGAACGAGCGATTCTAGCCTCAAAACGCGCTAGCTGAGCATTATCATACGGCTTCCCACATTCCTCCTGTACATTCCAATTTCCCTATTGTGCCTTTTTCTTACCCCCTTCCCATCATCTCCCCCCCTTCCCCCCCCCCCCCCGCTCGCCTCTCTCTCACTCCCTTGGGTTTTGGCAAAAGGTGAGCGATGGCCTCGGCACTATCATAGTGCTTTCTGCTTCCGCCTTCCCCATTCCGATCTCCTAACGTCCCCTCTCCGGTTTCTTCCTCCCCCTTCCCCCACCCCCCTTCCTACAAAAGCCATGGGATGGGACGAACAGCCGGCGGCGGAGATCGGGTTGGTGCTGGCAAGGTCATGTGGTACGGTACCTCCTGTCCTGTTTTCCTCCTCCCTCTCTTTCACCTCCCCATCTTGTTTGTTCCACATGTAGAGACATCCTCTTCGAAAAAAAAAAAAGTAACCGAGCTCCTTTCAACATACGGTAGTACCGGTATTCAAACATCAAGAGAAGGTGCTTTTATTGTCACTCAGCTCGAACTTCCCTCACTGGTTTACCTTTTCCCACTCGTGCTCGTTAACAATGAAACAAGGCCACCCTGGTCTGGCTTCCTAGCAACCTCTCTGAAATGTTTCTTCTGCATTTTGGTAGCTTTTGCTGGCGTACAATGTCACATCACAATTGGTAGTGCTGTAAGAGTTCGAGACTACAATACACTGTAACTGCCCATGATCAGTGGACATCGCCAATTACTGACACAGTACAAGTATCAACATCCTAAAATTGAACAAACGGAAGGTTATGTTACTTCTTGTGTCGTCTCAATTGCGTTTTGAGAACTGACTGGAATATGTCGGCCCAGACGTCTGGAAGACCAGGTAAACACCAGTGGGTGCAGTCCCACTTTGTTTTGCTGTTTGTCTTGGCTCCATAAAAACGCTTTACATGCGCATCTGGGCGGAAGAGGGAAATGCGGGTGATGTCGATTATTCGAAACGGCGACTTTTTCAACTCCCTCACCTCCAGCCGTCTGAAGGCTGTGGAGATGTCACGGGCCACCATGGCTTGAACTCTCTTCGTAGATATGGGTGTGGTGTGGCGGCACGTGGGGGGGTTACCTCTCGAGTAGTGGGAGGGGGAGTAGGTGAGCCACATGGGCACGCCACGGTACCTCTGCTCCACGGTCACGAACCGCTTCACACTGCGGATGGCGGCGCGGTACGCGCTCATGCCGCTCAACCGCACCACCCGGTTGTTGGCCACATACACGGTGGAGCGCACGGCCTCGGCGCCCTGCTTGTCCAGGAACCAGTGGCCCGACATGAAGACAGCGAGGTCCACGTGCTGCAGCACGGCCGCCCACTGCTCGTCCATGTCGTCCAGCCACACCACGTAGCGGCTGCCGTCGCCCGGCCGCAGCCCGTACTGCCTGAACGCCCAGTCCTGGTTGCTGTAGCGCACCAGGTACGGCGCCACCACGGCCACCAGCTTCAGGTTGTAGCGCGGCACGGCCAGCCCCGACACAAGCGTGCCGCCCAGCCACCCCGACCACGGCTCCACGTGGTCGTCCACGCCCAGCTCGCACGCGATGGCCTGCTGCACGTTGCGCGAAAACGAGTCGCCCACGAACGCCACCACCTGCTTGCGCACACGCACGCACGGAGGGCGCACATCAGACGCGGCACACACGGGTTTGTGACAGGCAGGCGGGGGAAGCAGGACGAACAGGGAGAGGAGGGGAGAAGAGGCCAGAGGGTCAAGTGAATCGGTAGGGTGAGCGCGGGAGCGCATGATGGGGCGAGGCGGCTGACCTTGTTGCGGAGCAGGGCTTTGAAGTAGGCGCGGTCGAAGCGTCGGATGGTGCACGCGCTGGGCTTCCACGCGTACTTGGTGTACCCCGTGTCGCGCCGGCCGTTCCGCTCGCAGTTGAAGGCCGAGCGGATCCACGCGCACTTGCTGCTGTACGACCGGCGCCGCGCGTCGTACACCCACCGCCCCACCGTGTAGTCGCACGCTGCGCGTCATGCGACAAACACGCCCTCCCCACGTCGCAATCGCGTTGCAGGCGCACGAGCACAGGGGCAGGGTGCGACACAAGCGAAAAAAGAGAGATCAGTGAACATGGATCACTCTATCGGCGGGGGCTGCGGCGCGGTGCGGCGGGAAGCGGCAGCAGGGCAGCAGGGGCCCACCTAGGGAACGGCGGGTCGCAGTAACAGCGCATTAAGGCACGGGGAAGCGCGACAAGACAGCACAGCACAGGGAGGAAAACAGGGGAGAAAACAGCACAGCACGGCACAGGGAGGACGGGGACGCGCAGCACGGCACAGGGGGGACGGTGATGCGTTGCAAGGCACCGGGAGTACGGGGATGTGCAGCAAGGCACAGAGGGAACGGAGAAGCTCAGTCGCAGCTATTGGGATGTGGTTGGGGCGAAACGGATGCGCGATGCGCGGATCGGGAAGGCGAAACATTCACGCGCGGTCGCTTACCAGCGAGTCGACGGCGATTGGTGGAGTTAAGGGGCGGCAGGCGGTCCAGGTCATCCTGCCACGTGGACACTCTCGATATGTTTTCCACACGCGTGGCGGCATTCCAGCTTGCAAGCCGTGGCACGGACTCGAAGCGCGTGACGTGAGCAGGCAGCGCGGAGGCTGCCATGGTTCCTGGTGGGCAGCAAGCAAGGAACGCGTGAGTCACAGCGACAGCGACGGGAGCTAGAAGCAATCTCTCTGACGTATTAACAATTGCTAAAATTGAGGGCTCGGCAGCGTGGACACTGCATGCTGGTGGCGCTGCTGGTGCCATGCACGCGCAGGCTCACCGCAGAGAAGCACAACGAGCCGCACACATCCTCGCGTCCATACTCCGCCTATCGTCATCCACCGCGTTGCTCTGCGCCACCCGTCGGATCCTACGCTCGCTAGTGTCGGTACCGTGTCCCTACCCCACTGCTCGACTCGACTACGTTACACGACGAGGTACCCACACCAAACGAACTAGAAAGGTTCTCGTCCTCTTAGTGTATTAGCCGCAACCGCGAAGGTGTTGCACATGGCAAAGGCGGAGAGGTTGTGCAGAGAGGCCAAGGGAGAGGGAGCAGAAAGCAAGGGATGATACTCGAGGGGGTGTTGGAGCAGTGGCATGAGGGGGGAGCTATTCCTTAGGCTGCCATTCAACTAGCGAGTGAGCGCAGGCAGTCGGTCTCCCAAAAATCTTCCATCCCGCCTGCCCTGCCTGCTGGAATTCCGTCACTTCGCAACGCATCGCATTCGCGTCTGCTTCGCGACCCGCCCAGGCTGGGACAGTCCCCTCAACCAAGCGGTGTGAGGCCCGCCACCACCGCGCGAACCAATCCACTCCAACGGACTTTCGCAAATGCGTCAGATGTGTCAGGTTCTACTGTGCATGTTGGCTGACCCACAACAGAGTGTCCACAATGTGGTTCCAAATAACCTAATGATTTGTTATAACTAGCAAACACAATACTTTGTATGATGTGGCTTTGAAGGTGGTTCATAAATATGACATGATTAGCGGTTCCAACAATTCAGCAGCATAATTCTTTCTGTACCTGAGCAGTAACTTTGATCCACCATACTGGTGAATGTTTGGGGACCATACGGAAGGTTTCTTTGAACGGCTTGAGCAATATTGTGATGGTGAATGCTTTTGACATCATGACTCGACAATACGTGGCACTATATGAATCTCAGCCTCCACGAGAAGCAGGTCAACTTAACACCAACTGGCTTGGGAGCCAGGTGAAACTTATTCTCCAAATGGACTAGTTTGACCCGCTTGCTCTCCATCTTGCGTTCCAGGACCTTTCCCCTTCGCTCCAGTGCTGCCATGCGGGCCACCACCCTCTCTGTGCGTTCAATCAGCACACGCGCCTCGTCAGCCTCGCCCTCCACCGCTGCCAGCATCTCGCTCACCTCTGCACGCTTGTCCTTGCCCTGCCGCCCCATCACCGCTGCCGCTCGCAGCCCCATCTCCGCAGCCAGTGCTGCGCGCTCCCTCAGCCCGTGCATGGCAATCAGCAGCACGTCCCGCCTCGCCTGCAGCTCCTTCAGCCCCACCGCCGGCCACTCCTCTTCCTCTCCACTCGCCTCACTGCCGCCTTGCACGCGGCCCCTGCTCCTGCTCCTGCGGCGCATGCCGGCCCGGCCTGAGCTGCCGGTGGACACCGTTGCCACCACGCGCTGCTCCCCACCCGCCTCCACCACTGCCACGCCTGCCCCCTCCTCAGCGCCTTCCGGGCTGCCCTCCTCCTGGGCGCCCCCCTCCTCATGCCTTGACGCTGCACCTGCCTCTCCTCCGTGCTGCACCCCTGCCGCATCCTCGCCCACAGCCTCAATCTCCGCCACTGCACACCTTCTCTGCAGCCCAGTCCCCGCCATGTCCCCACAGCCGTCTGCCCCCCTGGCAGCTTCGGAGCTGCCGTGCTCGCCCAGGGCAGCAAGGGCAGCAGAGCTCGCGGCGGGCAGCAGGAGGTGCAGGCGGCGGTCCAGGTGGGCGCAGCGGGCCTCAGCAGCACGGGCGCGGTGCACGGCGAGTTCAAGGGCGCGGTCCTTGACGTCCACCACCTTGCTCGTCAGCTCCAGACACACGCGCAGCTGCAGCACGCGCTGCCGCAGCCGCCCCTGCCATGCCACCACGCGCTGTGCCTTGCCCACCTGCGCCTGCAACGCCCGCACCTGCTCCTCCAGCCGCCCGTTCTCCTCCAGCACCTCCTCCACCTCCCTCTCGCGCTGCTCCTGCTCGCCCTCCTCGCCTGCGCTCCCCCCGTAGTACTGCGCCACCGCCTCCTTGGCGCGGCTCCACGCGCCCTGCCGGGGCACCGGCAGCGTGAACGCCGACTCGTACTCGCCGCCACGCCGCTCCTCCACGCCGCAAGCGCTGCCAGCGTCTGCAGCACGCTGCTCACTGCCACCGCTCTCATGCCACTGCTCCGGTGGACCTTCAGGCTCTTCCCCGCCCACCTCACTCGGCCACGCCCTCTGGTCAAATGCACCACCACACGCACCCCCATCCCCCCATTCCCGACTGCCCGCCTGCATCTCTGTGCCCCCTGCTCCCCTTGACCCCCCTGCTCCCCGTGACCCCCCTGCTCCCCTTGACCCCCCTGCTCCCCTTGACCTCCCTGCACCTGCTGCAGCCAACCCACCGTGCGCCCCACTGGCTCCACCCCGGTCGTCACGGCCACGCCTTGCTTCCTCTGCATCGTCGGCAGCACCATCTCCACCGCCATCAGGAGCGCCATCAGGATGTGGGGCTTGAGATTCCTTGGGTTGAAGCATATCTCGCCGCGCCACTCCTCCTGGAACCCGCTGCACTGACTTTCCTTCCCCCACGTCTCCACCCTCCCCTTTTGCTGCCTGCAATCTGCTGCATTCCTGCTCCACGCGCCCCCTGCGCGCCGCCGTGCTGCCATGCGCGCCCTCCTGAGCGGCGAGCAGCGCGCCTCGGAGCGCCTCGTTGTCGGCGTGCAGGCGGTCGATCAGCGCCGCTGCCAGCTCCTCGCGATGCGCGGCGGCGTCCGCCTGCCCCTGCAGCCGCGCCAGCTCGCCGTCCACGCGCTGCATCGCCTCCTCCTGCTCCCTCTCCCGCTCCGCCGCCGCCCGCAGCGCCCCCGCCAGCTGCCCGCGCAGCACAGCCACGGCGCTGCTGCCCTCCTCCCGCGCGCCCTGCGCACACGCCTCCGCCACACACAGCGCTGCACGGATGATGCACGACGGGGAGGGGAGAGGGGAAGAACGGGCGTGGGAGGGATGAGCAGTCAAGGCGGGCACGGTGCGAGTGGTGGGCAGGTGAGAAGGCAAGGCATGGCGCAGGTGAGGGTGGAGGAACTGACCGTTGCGTGCGTCTGCTAGACGGTGGCGCAGGTGGCGCAGCTCGTGCTCCACCTCCACCTCCTGCCGCACACACGCGCGGGGATGCGCGCACACACGGGGGTGTGGGCGCACACACGGGGGGGGGGGCGCACACAGACATACAAGGGGATGGGCGCACACAGGCATGGGGGATGGATGCTGAAGTCAGGGGGATGGGCGCACATATGGCAAGAGAAATAACACACGGGGCAGCGAGTGACGGTGAGGCGCATGTGAAGAGGCAGGGGGGGGAAGAGGCACAGCGAGCGCGATTGCGCAAGGAGGGAGTGCGCGTGACGCATGCATGACGCCACTGCTTGCACATGGGTGCTGCGGCGTGACCCCTGCCATGCTGCACCCACTACCACCCCACTCCACGCTCACCAAGCCACGGGCTCTGCTACCTTCCCCCCTGCGGAAAACCCACCCTCCCATCCCTCCCCCTCCCCATGTACCTTTCCCCATGCAGCTACCTTCCCCCGGCTACCTTTCCCCCCTTGTGCTACCTTTCCACCTTCCCCCCCATGCGGCTACCTTCCCCCCCACGGCTACCTTGCGCTGCCAGAGCGCCTCCTTGTCGCGGTGCGCGCCGAGCAGCACGGCCACCTCCTCCTCGTGGTACCGCCTCGCCCGCTCCGCCTCGCGCCTCGCCGCCGCCGCCTCGCCCCTCGTCTCCTCCACCTGCCGCTGCGCCTCTTCCCGCGCGCTCCTCGCGCCGGCCAGGCGCTCCTCCTCCAGCGCGCGCTCCGACCGCGCCTGCACGCCCCGCGCCGCGGAGGGGTGGGAGGCAGGCAGGTGGGGAGGATGGGGAGGATGGGTGGAGAGGGCTACAAGGGACTAGCGGAGGGGCGAGGCGGGAGGGCGAAAGGCAGTCAGTGGCGTGACGATCAGGGCGGGACCAGCAAAGGACTGCACCGCACAGCACGGCAGCGCTGCCTCTGACGCACCTCTAGTTGACCCCTTAGCTCGCTGCACTCTATGCGCGCCGCCCATAGCTCGAGTCGCAGGCGGTCCATCTCCGCGTGCATGTCGTCCACCTGCGACGCGACGAGCGCACGGAGAGATGAGAGGGCTGACGTCGGCAGAACGGCAGGGCGGGGCATGATACGTGAACGGGGAATCGACGTGCGCGATTCGGCGAAAGGAGTGAGCAAAGGGTGATAGCAGAAACCCCGACGGCCCACCTTGATCGGATGGAACAGCGCGCGAGGTGGTGCCTCCGCCCCGTTATTCGTCGCGACAGCAGGTGCGCCATGCCCATCGCGGGCCGCCGATGTCGCCGCCTTGCCAGGCGGCGCCTGCTCGCCGTCATCCAAGCATGCGATGGCACCGTCTTTCGACTTTTGGGCGACACTGTCCTGCGACAAATGCGCGAAAGGGGAGAGGCGGGAGAGAGATAGGGGAGCAGCAGCGCACAGGAAGGCGGCATGAGGGGAGTGCTCGTGTGGTGTACCACGTAGCCTTCTCGCTTACACAATTAACATGTCACCAGCACAGTCAAGAGCGCTCAGTGTGTGAAACATCGAACCTGCATGGCTGTCGCCGGGACTGAGGAGGCCCATCCCGTGCGGTCGTGCCAGAGACGATCCATGACTTCTCGTGTAACTCGCTCGCTGCTGCTGAAAATCCGTCCTTGCGCGAAAGCAAAATGCCGGTGCGTTCTCAATCCAACGTAGTCGTCGTCAACGGCGGTCGCCATGGCTCGGAGAAGGGAGGGGAACGTTTTACGACGGTGTGTGGAGGCAGCTACTAGGCGGTTGGTGGATGCAGTTCATCAACATGCATGTGTTGCGGCGTCCACAGGGCAGCGCGGTGGAGTATTTGGTTCTAAGTGCCCACCGCTCTCGACTCTCCTCTTGTATTGCGGGCGTGGATCGATGAGAGCTGCCCACGACGACTTGGACCTGCCTACCGCCAAACAACTCCAAATACGGGGACTCGATGTTTTCCCGAATTTCAGTTCGGGCAGTTTCAGTGTAGATCGCCAGCAACCTTCACTTTCAACCCATTTCGCTCACATGGGCACGCGTGAGGGATCTGGAGCACATGGATACACCTACCACACACCGTGCCACTCTCTTGTCCAGGAAGCTTTACATTACGTGCACTGTACTAATCTATTTGGAAGGGGCGATTCACCCTGTTGGCTTGCATAACCCCACACTCACAGTGTCGCCGAGGCCAACTCAACGACGCTCGCAATTGGTTGGACCGGTGCTGGCCACTGGCCTTCTCCATAAGGCAAGCAAGTGGCGTTTTTCGCCCACTGAGGTAATCCATTCGGGCTTTCGCATGCATTTCAGTAGCGCTGCCAGATTCGCTCTTGCCACAACAACCAAAGCAATTTTTGGGCTGATAGCATCCTCGCCAGAACTTCCCTCGGTAAGATATTTGCTTCACCTTGTTCTTTCTGGGTCGATAAACTGGACGCAGTTGCTAAACACAGTATTCGATTTGCGGGCATACCGTATTATGCGGAGAATCAATGAATGGCAAGCTAAACTGCAAGTTAATGGAGCTGAATAAAGTTCGACCAAATGTGCATGTATCTTGTGCAAAAGCCTTGAGGTTAGTGCAATGCCAAAATCCTCTCCCATCTAGAAGGGAGCCCTATCTCAAACAGTGAACGCAACGGAATGGTTGGAATAGAAACGAATGGGGTACAAATAAGCAACCCTAGAAGCTGTACCCCCTAGATTGCAACTCACTACAGCCTATCACATCAATGTGCAACATTTGACACACCCCCATAGGCTAAGTGAGGGGCATCAAAGCAAGCAAGGTGAACAAACGGTCACAAGACTAGTCAAAGCAAGAACCAAGGCAAGCTCAGGGTGGATCTCAAGGACACCACACAAATTCCGAGCGCAAGCAAGCGGCCACAAGGCCAGTTCAAGAGTTCACTAGGATATAAATACAAAGCACAACGAGCAGAGCAAGCAACAGGACTACAGCAACCGAGGGCCTACCTCAACAAGCCCCAACAGCACACAGAACCTGTGGTGGTCACCAAGCGTCAAGGCCTTGGTGAAGACGTCTGCAGTGTTGGCCTCTGAGGCCACAAAGTCCAGGCGTGCCTGACCGCGTCGCTGCAGCTCTCGCAGGAGGAAGTACCTCACGTCAATATGCTTCACTATGCTCTCCAGTCGAGGCTCTCGACACAGGAGGATCATGGCCTTGTTGTCAGCGTACAAGGTCGGTGCAGAGCGAGGCCGCTCACCAAGGTCTGCGAGCAAGAAGGTCAACCAGCGAAGCTCCTGTGCCGCCATGGCACCCGCGTAGATCTCTGCCTCTGCACTGGAAGTAGCCACAGACGACGACCGTGTAGACCTCCACGACACAGCACCAGCTCCCAGACTGAAGCAGTAACCCTGAGTCGAGCGCTGAGTCTCCACGTCGTCAGCGTAGGAAGAGTCACAGTGACCAGTCAACACCACTGGCTGAGTCCCTCCAAGCACAAGCCCCATGCCTGATGTAGTCGCCAGGTACTTCGCCACCCTCACAGCAGCTGTCCAGTGGACAGGGCGGTGTCTCCCAGTCGCAACAAAGCGAGAAAGGATGCTGAGGGGAAAGGCGAGGTCCGGTCGAGTACAAGTCATCAGGTACATGAGGCAGCCCACCAGCTCTGCGTAGGGTCCACTGGACTCAAAGGGCTCGTCAGGAAAGGGGCCCGTGAGTCTGTGGTCAACAGCAAGAGGAGTGGGCTGTGTGGTGGAGAACTGGAAGTCGAACCGCCGAAGGACCTGCTGCACCATGTGTGACTGCGTCAGTGTGATGGTGCGAGCGGCTCTGTACCGGGTGATCTGCAAGCCAAGGTAACGCTGCAGCTCACCCAGGTCAGTGCACTTGTGTCTCTTCTGCAGTTCGCACTTCACCTGAGCCAGGGCTGCCCTGTCTGCTATAGCAAACACCAAGTCGTCGACGTAGACAAGGATAAAGAAAGGAGTAGAACCCGCTCGAACAAACAGCGACGGGTCGGCGGAGGACGGGCTGAACCCAAGGTCACGAAGCGTGGAGCGAAGAGTGTCGTGCCACTCACGGGGCGACTGTCGGAGACCGTAGACTGGTCGCCTCAGGCTCCACTGGGTCCTAGGTGGGAAGGTGTCAGTGAAGCCAGGAGGACGGCGCAGCCAGATCTCCTCGTGCAGTCGGCCCTGGAGGAACGCAGTGGAGAAGTCGAGGGAGTGCAGCTCGTAGTCTTGCTGCGCTGCTATGTGGAGTAACACCCGAAGAGTAGTCATCTTCGGGGTCGGGGCGAAGGTCTGGAAGAAGTCAACTCCCTCACGCTGACTGAAGCCCCTAGCCACGTAGCGCGCCTTGAACACCGGCGGTGCTCCAGGCGGCCGCTTCACCTTGAAGAGCCACATGCCATCGACTACGTTCGCCCTGGGAGGGGGAACTGCGTCGACGTAGGTGCCTGTGGACCTCCAAGACGCCAACTCTGAGTCCATAGCCGCTTTCCACTGAGAGGCCCACGCCCCTGACACTGCCTCGCGGTAAGTGCGAGGAGTCGGTATGTCAAGGGCGTCGGGGTCTCCCTCAGGGGAGAGCAGCATGGCACACACAGAGGGAGAAGCGGCTGCCCAGTACTCCAGCTCAGACTCTCTGTCCTCTAGGACGTCACAGCCAAGGGCAAACCCACCCCCGACGGACAGAGGACGGTAGGGAGGAGCTGGCACCACACGGGTGGCGTAGTCAAGGCGACTGGCGGCAGCAAACTCAGCGACAGCGGCAGTGAGAGCCGAGGCAGACGACGGAGGGAAACGAGAGTCGGTGACAAGAGTGGCGAGGACACGTGCGGCAACAGGACGAACAGCGCGGTAGTAGTCAGAGATAGGAGTGGGGGGGGCTGTGACAGAGGATGGAGGAGGAGACGGGAGAACGGACACAGGAGAAGGAGAACGACGACGAGACGAACAAAGGAGGGCAGTGTGGAGGTCAGTAACAGGGGACGAGTGACGAGCACGCGGAGGACAACGGGTGATCAAGTCGCGACGCACAGAAGGAGGAGGAGACTGAGGAGGAGGAGAAGACCAGACCGCCGGACGGTCGTCAGGAGGAGGCAACGGAGGAACAAACACAGGAGGAGACGGGGAACGGACAGAAGGAGAGGAGGAAAGGCCAAGGGCCCGCAGGCCACTCACAGGTGGGAACAACTGCCGCTCCAGAGGAAGCTGCGGGGGCGGCTGCGGCTGCCGCTGCTGCGGCTGCGGCGGCGGCTGCGGCTGCTGCTGCTGCTGCTGCTGCTGCTGCTGCAGCTGCGGCGGCGGCTGCGGCTGCTGCTGCTGCTGCTGATGCTGCTGCTGCGGCTGCTGCTGCTGCTCCTGCTGCTGCTCCAGAAGGTCCAGCACCCGCAGCTCCTGCCGCTCCCTCTCCAACCGCTCCTGCTCCTCACGCTCACGCCGATGGGCAGCCTGGAGACGCGTGTCGTGGCGGTGGGGAGGCGGAGTGGACTCCGCAGAACCAGGGTCTCCAGCTCCAGCCTCCTCAGACTCAGCACCCCCAGGACCAGCACCGCCAGTGCCAGGACCTCCAACTCCAGCACCCCCAGAACTAGCACCGCCAGTGCCAGCACCTCCAACTCCAGCACCCCCAGAACCAGCGCCACCTGCGCCAGCACCCCCAGCTCCAGCACCCCCAGAGCTAGCGCCACCTGCGCCAGCACCTCCAGCTCCAGTACCCCGCGACCGAGCACCCCCAGCGGCTGCACCTCCAGCTCCAACACCAACAGAGTCCACAGTAACCTGTCGCGGAAGTGTCGAAGGCTGCTGAGGGGACTGTGAGGAGGACTGTGGGGAGGGAGACACTACCTGACGCGCGACCGAGGGTAGAGGGGTAGCGTGGGACACACCAGACGGGGCAGGACCAGGGGGGGGCGGGGGTACCGGAGGAGCGGGAGCAGGAGGAGGAGAGGGTGCGAGGAAAAGAGGGGGAGGGGGTACCGGGAGACCTCGACAGGGGTACCGGGTGTAGTAGGACACGGACTCGTCAAACCGGACGTCACGGGAGTCTAGGAACTGGTGGAGGGGAGGGTGGTAAAAGGACCAGTCGGCAGAGTCCACTGGGAAACCAAGGAAGACACAGGGGACGGCGCGTGCCGAGAGCTTGTCCGCGGAGGTGTCGCGAACAAGCGCAAGGCAGCCCCAGACTCGAAAGGCCGACCCGACACCAGGGGAACCAGTCCAAAGACTGGTCGGTGAAGCCTCGGGCCGCGAGACACGCGGCTGGAGGTTCAGCTGGTGTGCGGCGTAGCGAACCGCGTGGGGCCACAGAAAATGGGGCGCACGGGCATGGATCATGGACGTGCGGGCGATGTCCATGACCAAGCCTATGCGGCGCTCAGCAACCCCATTCTGCTGTGGGGACTCAGGCAGCGTCCAGGACTGGGTGATGCCCTGTTCGCCGCAGAATCCGCCGAGAATGCCGGAGCGAAACTCGCCCCCACGGTCGGAGTGGAGACAACTGACTCGACGACCACGAGTGCCCTCAGTGGCTAGAAGCCACCTGATCAGCGTAGCAGTCACCTCAGACTTCTTCGCAAGAGGGAACACTGTGGTGTACCTGGAGAAGTCGTCGACGACCACCAGAAAGTAACGCTCCCTCCCAGACCCCTGCGTCGGGGCAGGGCCCCAGACGTCCAAGTGGAGAGTCTCGAAGGGAGCGGTGGCCGGACGAAGGGAGGAGGAGTGGGGAGTGGCGCGTAAGCGACCAGCGACGCAAGGAGAGCAAGGAGGGGCAAGCGAGAGAGGGAGCGACGGGAAGGTGCGTGGGAGACCTGTGACGAGTCCCTGACTGAGCATGCCACGAAGGCGAGGGATCGACGGGTGCCCAAGATGGTGGTGCCACAGGACGGTGCGGTGGGTGAGAGAGCGACAGGAGCAAGACGCGGCGACTGGACTGGACACAGCGACAGGACTGGACACGACTACCTGGCTAGACACAGCAACTGGACTGGGGACCTGGGCCGGAGGGGACGCAACGACCTGAGGGGAGGACGCGACCGGGGAGCGCTCGGTGTGGAGAACGTAGAGACCGGAGCGGGGCTCCCTGGTGAACGTGGCCAGAACAGCACCTGTGGTAGCGTCAGTACAGACTGCAGTCCGCCCACCCCCCACGAAGGTAACTGTGATCCCCCTGTCCTGGAGGTATCCAACAGCCACCAAGTTCCGAGTGAACGAGGGGATGTGGAGGCCACGCAGGACACCAGAGGGGACCACAGGGCACGGGAGGGTGGTGGAGCTACGCGCAACGGCTGGTCCAGAGGTAGGATCAGCCAGAGCCACCGACACAGGTGTGAGCAGTGGCGTAAGGGTCGTGTGGTCGCGGAAGAAGCACTGAGACGCGCCCGAGTCCAGCGTGAACGAAAGAGAGGCCTCAGCCGGTGGGTCACCTGACCCAGTCGCTACACAAGCACCTAGAGCAGCAACACAAGCACCTAAGCTAGACAGGCACAAGGCTACACTAGCAGGAGGCAAGCAGGCTAACCTACGAACACGCGAGCACCCAGATCCATCAGCACTAAAGTCAGCATCAACATACAAAGCATGCTGACGCGCATCGTCCATGGACAAAGCAAATACATCAATCTTACGGGCTAACAGACGAGACCAGCGAGGCGTGACCGCCAGAGGGCCCCAACGAGCCCGGTAGAGGTCGTCGAGGCGGCGGAAGCACCGCGCGGCAGAGTGGTCGTCGCGACCACAAAGACAGGGGCTACCCGGCCCGGTGACGCACCAGTGGGTGCACGGGCCAGCGTCACGGCGAGGGGGACGAGGGGCCCAGCTGGAAGTACTGCTGCTGCGGCTGGTGCTCCCAGGGCCTCCCGGACCCCACTGCGGCGGGGGACCCCAGTGCTGCTGCGGACCCCACTGCAGCGGGGGCCCCCACTGCTGGAACTACTGCGGCGCCTGCTGGTGCTGCTGTCCCTGCTGCTGCTGCTGTCCCTGCTGTGGCAGGTGCTGCTGTGGCTGCTGCTGCTGGGGGGGAACGCCCCCATCGGTCGGGCCACCACCTGTGGGTGGGCCTGTCTGTCCAGCACCTCCTCCAAGCCCCCCTCCCCCAGGTGCACCACCGCCGCCGCCGCCGCCGCCTCCGCCACCACCGGCGCTCCCACCTCCACCGCCACCTCCACCGCCGCCTCCACCGCCTCCACCTCCCCCCTTCCTGCCCTTCTTGCCACTCTTGCCCCGTTTTTGCCAGTCTGCGGCAGAAACGGAAGCGGTGTCCTCAGAGACCGACACAGCAGCAGAAGCGCGGGTAGCGGTGAAAGTGGGAAGCTGAGGGGCGGCACACCCCGCAAAGAGACGGGGGGCCACCGCATCAGTGGCGGAGGCAACGGTGAGGAGACTGCTCTCGATGGTCCCTAGAGCAGTCGCTAGGAGGTCGATAGTGAGCTCAGTGGGGTGCTTCTGAAGAAGCGCGTCGCGGGCAGTGGCAAGGCGGTCAGGGAGGCGGGTGACTAACCAGTGCACAGTGAGCCACATGGGGGGGGAGCAACAAGGAGCTGTGCGTCGGTACAGGCAGCACAGAAACCGGCGTCAAGCGAGCGGAGGTGAGTCACGAGATCGGAAACAGTCGCAAACGAGCCTAGGTCGGGAAACACAAACGGCATGAGGAGGCGACTGAGGGAGGCAGAGGAGGGGGTGGAGTAGCGGGCAACAATAGCATCCCAAACCCCCTGGGCTGTCTCCACCTGGTCAAAGTGGGCGGCCTCAGTCGGGGGGAGAAGCTCCGACAGTGTGAGAGCGGCGGCAGCGTCACGCGAGAGCCACACGTCCCTGGCCAGGACCCGACGGTCGTACTCCGCCTGGGCCGTAGGGGTCGGCTTCGGGGTGGTAGGCAGGGCGGCGGGGGACGGGGGGGCCTGTAGGGCACCAGACGCGTGAGCCCACAGAGTGGCGCCGTCCTGTCGCTGGCTGGTGAGGAAGCGCGTGGTCTGGCGCTGCCAGGTGGCGAACTCTACCGGGCGTCCCTCCGCGTCGAAACGGAGGCGACGAGACTCCATAACGGAAGACATGCTCGAGGCGGCTGGAGCACGGCGGAGGCTGAGCTAAGAACGAGGAGGACGGCTACTGAGGGCGAGAGACGCCAGGTGGAACGCTACGAGTGAACCGATAGCGGAAGGAGCAAACGAGGTGAGGCGGAGAACGGCTAGGGACGCCAGGGACGGAGCGACTAGGAGCTAGGGAGGATTCGGCGCTACGGCTAGCTACCGGAGGTATGAGCGGCTGCCAGCCGCTGAGGTGAAGGCCAGTGACCGGGAGAATGGGGAGGGCCCGGGAAACAGGGCGGAGGAGGGGTGAAAACGGTCACGTGCCGAGGGTAGGTGCGGATCGGGCGGGCTAGGGTGATGCTGACGGTGGGAATGGGCGGGAGGGCGGTTTTGACGGTGGGAATGGGCGAGAGGGCGGTTTTGACGGTGGGAATGGGCGGGAGGGCGGTTTTAACGGTGGGAATGGGCGGGGAGGGCGGTTTGACGGTGGGAATGGGCAGGGAGGGCTGTTTTGACGGTGGGAAAGGGCGGGGGGAGGGCGCGACGGTATAGGACTGGGGCGTGGGCGACGGGCTAGGCGCGGAGGGCGAGGGGCAGGGCGTAGGGGCGCCGCGACGAGCTGGGGCAGCGCCTACGGGCTACGCGCTGGCTAGGGGCAGGGCGCACGGGCGCCGCGACGGGCTGGGGCAGGGCCTACGGGCGTCGCGACGGGCTGGGGCAGGGCCTACGGGCGTCGCGACGGGCTGGGGCAGGGCCTACGGGCGTCGCGACGGGCTGGGGCAGGGCCTACGGGCGTCGCGACGGGCTGGGGCAGGGCCTACGGGCGTCGCGACGGGCTGAGGCAGGGCCTACGGGCGTCGCGACGGGCTGGGGCAGGGCCTACGGGTGCCGCGACGGGCTGAGGCAGGGCCTACGGGCGTCGCACGGGCTAGGGGCAGGGCGCGGGCTAGGCGCGCGAAGGGGCGCGTTAAGGGGGGCGGGCTGAGGGCCACGCTAAGGGGCGCGGGCTAGGAGCGCGAGTGCGCAACAACCTCGGAGGGCGCGGAGGGTGCGGAGGGCGCTAGGCGCGACGGAGGGCGCGGAGGGCGCTAGGCGCACGGAGGGCTAGGCTAGGAACGTAACTACTCGTGATACCATCTCAAACAGCGAACGCAACGGAATGGTTGGAATAGAAACGAATGGGGTACAAATAAGGAACCCTAGAAGCTGTACCCCCTAGAGTGCAACTCACTACAGCCTATCACATCAATGTGCAACATTTGACACCCTACTCATGCACCACCGCGTCCATAAATACAAGCCAGTGAGCGCACACATCAGTCGAGTGTGGTATGGCGGGCAGCATGCAGCGCAGAGTCGAGAAAATGCACGTAATGGTTGAAGCAGTGGTCGCGGATGGAGCGCGCCAGCATGAGTGGGTCGCGCACCAGCTCCCCCACGCCCATCGCCAGCGCCTTCTCCGCCAGCGCTGGCGGCAGACTCGCCACCATCGACTCCGACCCTGCCGCCCGCACACCCATGCAGGTCAGGCAGCAGGGGACAGGGAATGGGAGGGGGGGATGGGGGATCACACATTGTGGTTACAGCAGATGACTAGCGGATATTGTAATGACTTGACTGGTGTTTGTGCGATGCAAGATTAGTGGGCACGACGAGTGAGTGGTGCATGTGATGTGTGAGTGCAGCGCACCTGTTGCCTGCATGTAGTGCACGAGACCCACTGCTTGGAAGGCCAGCGGGTCCCAGGACAGTCCTGTGGAGAGCGGCGGGGCGCTGGTGGAGGGGTGGAGGCCCAGCAGCGAGCGCAGCAGGGGAGTGCGGGCAAAGGCGGAGCAGAGGGGGTGGGCGAGCAGGAAGGCGCGCGGGATGATGTCTCGGTCCAACACAAACGCCCTCGCTGCTTCGCTTGGCAGGCCCAGACTCGCCAGCACACTGCACCGCGCTGCACCCCTGCTGCTGCTGCTGAACGGCGAGGAGGGGTGGAGCGGCGGTGCATGAGGGAAGGAGAGGAGGCCGGGGGGAGGGGCATGCAGATGGGGCGAAGCCATGTGAGGCCATGAGGCGGTGGTGTGAGCGGTGGGAGGGCGGCCGGCAGCACGGTGCAGCAGGGGGGAGGAGGGGTGCGCGTGTGCAGAGGCGAGGAGGCGGGAGAGGTCGCCCGATGAGTGGGCAAACTGGTGGGAGAGGCTTTGCGGGGCGGAGGGGGAGGGCGAGGAGGAGAGCGACGCGAGGACAGGGAAGGAACCGAAGGTGTGCGCGGAGAGGTGGAGGGGGGAGGCGTCTGCGCGCGTGTTGGGCGCGCGCAGGTGGAACATGAGCATCAGCAGCAGCGCCAGCGACCCGCCCAGCGAGTGCCCTCCGAAGCGCAGGTGGGTGATGCCCTCGCGGCGCATGTCAGCGGCGAGCAGCGGCAGCACGCCGCGGTACACGTCCTCCGCGATGGCGTGCACGCCGCCATGCACCAGCAGCTCCACGCCCGGCGGCGTCAGCGCACGCTCCAGGTGCACCGGGCGCACCTGCAGCAGCTGCCGCCACAGCCGCCCCACGTCCACCTCGCTGCGGTCCACCGCCACGCCGCGCGCTATCACGTAGCGCGTGCGCCCGCCCTCGCGCGGGCACGGCGGCGAGTCGACGACCATGTACGCCGTGAAGGGCGTCTGCTGGCACGCGCGCAGCGTCAACCCCAAGGCGCTCACGTGCGGCGTGGGGTCGCGGTGGTACACCAGCGCCGACAGCCGCGCCATCTGCGCCCGCGCCGAAATAGGCAGGTGGGATGGTGGGGGAAAGCGGGGCGATTGGGGGAGCGAAAGATGGGAGAGAGGGATGACGAGGGGAGGAAACGAGTGTCGTGAAGGTGAGGATGCGCGAACATCTGTGAAGCGCGCTCGCGCATCGTGTGTGTCACATTGCTACCTGGCTTGCCATGGATTCTTATTATTGCCTCTCGTCTTGCCACTGCTACTTGCCACACATGGCTGCTTGATCAAGAAACACACTTTCACTGCTAGATCCCCAAACCCTTACCACCCGCGCGCTCACCTGGGAAGCCGACGCCAACTCGTCCACTGTCGCACGCGGCGCCGACTGAACGATTTGTTTGCGAAGGTCGGTATTGTCGCCAGCCCTCGCATCGTCGTCTCGAGGCGGCGACAGGAACGGCAATCGCTTTCTGCGCTTTCCGCTCCGCCCGCTGCTCACGCCGCCATCCCGCCGTCCGCTCCGTCCTGCACCCGAACCCAACCCGCCGCTCCTCCCTCCCGCCAGCGGCCAATGCAGCCCGCTATCAGTCGCCCCCGCGGCTGGCGCTCTCCGCTCCACCGCCACCGCCTGCACGCGGAGGCGGTGGGAGTGTGGCCGCCGTGTGCGAGGCCGACCGCGGGTGCAGGCTTGGCGCATCGCCGCGCTCCCGCGCTCAGCGCACAAGGCGCCATTTAGATCCGCCGCTCTGCACGGCGCAATGAAAGGCCAACACCGACTTCTGAAGCCCCCAGCGCCAGCAGTGAAGGCGCCAGCGCCGAGCACGCCCGTGCCCGCATCGACTGGTCCCCGCGAGCAGCGCGCGCGATGGGTTGCCGCTTCCGCGGGACACACGTGATGGGCCAGCTGCGCCGCGGGAATGAGGCGAGCATTGGCGCGCTGCGGGCGATGATCAGTAAGGGAGAGGTTGGAGGAGAGAGGGCGGAGGGCGGCGAGGCACGACGGGGGCTGGCGATGGGTGGGTCCGGCGAGGGAGTCCCTGGAGAGGTGGCGTCGCACGCCGCTTTGCAGCGACTGCGACGTTTGTGATATTAGTCGCATGATCGTGCGGTGACGAGCAAGGGAAGTGGCGAGCAGCGAGCCAGAGAAGCAGTAGGGCGGGGAGTGCACCAGCAGGATGGGCCTGGTGGAGACGGAGAATGGCCCGCTTTTGGCGCTCCAAATCAATGGCTGGGGCTCGCCGGATTTGCGGTGGATGTTCTGGGGTGGAATCACAGTACACGTAGTCACTGGCGTGCTGGCGCGGCGTGTGGCCTTGGCTCAACGTCGGGGGCAGCTCAGCCCGACTGGCCAAGCCACATCAACCAGATCGGCCGGATCGCGCTCTCACGTTTTCCACAATGCCACGGATCGACCGGATCGCGCAAACCGTACAATCCTTCAGGTGTTTTTCTAAATCTGCTCTCTCAACTGGCTTTTCTGAATGGTGTTACGCAATGTTCTGTCTTGTCAGTCTACGCTGATGGCGTGCTGCTAACCATTTCGTAGGGAAAGAGGGGGGTGATAAGGGACGCTGTGGCTTAGCCACGGCTGATCAGGGTGAGGACGCGCGCGCGAGCCGCGAGTGGGGGAAAGCAGGGGAAGGCAGGCAGGCTGCTTGGATCTGGTGGGGAATTTTGGTGGGAGGAGATTTGGAGTCGAATTGAACGGGACGGACGGGAGGCGGACGATGGATCACATCGAGGCGGCTGGTGGTCTACGTGGCACGCCTGACTAAGTTGGATCACTAAAGCGCAGCGTGGGTGGTGCCACTCAGCGAGTCCTCGTTGGATCCGCGTCAAATCTGGCGCCACCAGCACAGCGCACCCATTCGCCACGACGACAATCCAATCCGCCATTACTCATCGCGGAGCCTTTGTCACAGGGCTTCGCCAATGAGGAGAGCTCCCGCCACCAATAGCTGGCTGAGCTGGGCCTTGGTTTTCGCGGACAGTCGCGATGGGAAATCTGAGCCTCAGGTTCCCCACTCTGGAGTCTTCGCAAACAGACCATTGGCTTTCGAGAGCTTGTTCGTCGCCAGACGTTTTGCTTCTCTGGTGAACTGAGTCCACAGCACTCGAAGTTCGCAAACCGAAAATTTTCGCTACCATAAATAGGCAAATCATCTCAGGACCCGTCAGCTGGAAAACTAGCACGACGCTTCACTCAGAGACTGAAGAATTTGTTACGAACATTGGTTTGATGACATTGCTCGAGCAGTACGTTCAGTTCAGGTGACTTCATGGTAATAAACCTTGATGTCTCATGTTAGAATGGTCAATAATCATTTCCTCAACAGAGATTAGCACTTACAAGGTGACCCAATTTCACGCTCAACTGTGGTGTCAGCTATTTTGTGCCGTATGTTAGAATGACTAATCATCACTCCCATGACTGAGACAACTCAACGTCACCTGTCTCTCCATCGTTAGAAAGGGTATGTGTGGAACTATCATCACTCCCTGTCTTTATTCTCTTGGCCTCAATAATCTCAAGCACGTCTGGTGAAGGCACAACCGTGTTTTTCTTTCGCGTGCTCGTTGTGCGTGGCCTCCTAACTGCACCGGCTGCACATCCCAGAGTTTGATCGGGGTTGGGATTACTTTCTGCTGCAGTGGCAGCGGCATGCACGTCAAACGCCTGCTCTTTTAACTCCACACCTGCATCACCTGCACAAAAACCCACTCCTCTCCTCCCTTCGCTGTTTCCTCTTCCTCTCCCCACCACTCCTCCCATCTCTGCACAGACTTTTGGCTGGCCCCCTAACTGTCTCGCTCCTACTGCCCACCCTCGGCCCCTCATGCAAAATCTTCCCCGGCCCCCCAGTGCCCCTCCCCACAATCTGCCTGCCGCTGCCATCCCAGCACCCACCGCAGCAGCAGGGCGGAGCGGCAGGCGGGTGGGCAAGCGAGAGAGGGGGCGGTGAGAGGGGCGGGTGGAGAGGGGCGGGGCGGAGTCGATGGGGGCGAGCATGCCACGGATCTGGCAGGAGAAGACAAACGTCACCTGCGCATGGTGCCGCATGCATGCACGCCCGGGGGGTGGTGGGGGAGGAACGGACGTGGTAGGCGTTGAGGAGGGTGTGAGGGAGGAGTGTGGCGTGGTGAAGGGAAAGAGGGTGAAGCAGCAGCAGAAAGGGAAAAGCCATGGGATGTGGAAGAAAGTAAAGGTTGTCGCAGATGGGAAAGTGGGAAACGCATGTGGTGAGATGAGTTACATCGAGACAGGCTGCCTTCTGTAATGCCGTGTCAGGGATGGTTGCGGATGGA